ATGAATTAACCTCAGCAGATTGGACTCACCTGGTTAATTGGCTGGGTAGAACAAATACATGACATGGAGATGACTTGTTGACTCCACATTGCCCATGTCTGCTATTTGGTAGTCCTTGTTTGCAATTACAGAGGTCAAATGTTTCCTGTAGTTTTTCACCTGGTTAACATACACTGCGAGGGATTTTGGCCCACTCCTCCACACAGATCTTCTCTAGATCAGTCAGGTTTCTTGGCCGTCCCTGAGACCCACAGTTTGAGCTGCCTCCAAAGGTCCCTCCAAAGGTTTAAGGTCTGGACATCTTCCAGAGCCACTCCTTGGTTACCCTGGCTGTGTGCTTTGGGTTATTGTGATGTTGGAAGACCCAGCCTCCACCCATCTTCAGTGCTCTAACTGAGGGAAGGAGGTTTTTCCCAAAATCCTCCCCTTAATACAATGAAGTCCACCTTTGCAATATGTCCCATTTTTCTTTCTCCAAACATGGTTAGTGGAATTATGAGCAAAAATATCTATTTTGGTCTCATCTGACCACATGACTTTCTCCCATGATTCCTCTGGTCATTGGCAAACTTAAGATGGGCCTTGACATGTTCTGGTTTAGGCAGGGGAACCTTCCATGCCATGCATGAAGTCTTAGTGTATTACCAACAATAACCTTGGAAACGGTGGTCCCAGATCTTTTCAGCTCCCCCTTGGTAGTTCTGAACTGATTTCTCACCTTTCTTAAGATCATTGAGGTTTGAATGGAGCCCCAGTCCAAGGCGGATTGACAGTCATATTCCGCTTCTTCCATTCCTAATGATTGCTCCAACACTGGACCTTTTTCACCAAGCTGCTTGGCAATTTCCCCGTTGCTCTTTTAAGCGTTGTGGGGGTTTACAATTTTGTCTCTAGTGTCTTTGGACAGATATTTGATCTTTGCTATGTTTGTGGTTGGATTCTTACTGATTGTATAGGGTGGACAGGTGTTTTTATGCGGTTAACGATCTCAAACAAGTGCATCTAATTTAGGATATTAAAATGGAGCGTAGGTGGACATTTTGAAGGCATACTAACTGGTCTTTAAGGGTCAGAATTCTAGCTGTTTGAAAGGAGTTCAAATACTATATATTGCAACTCAATCATACACTGTGAGTGGACATGCACCTACGATAACAATATCCGACCCCTCATGATTTCTGAATGGGAGAACTTGTAAAACAGCAGGATTTTAAAATACTTATTTTCCTCGCTGTATAGTTTAGTTGTTGGGAATGGGAACCAAACCTGATCCATTTAATTAATAAATTCAGTCAACTGTCTAAATCTATGTATAAAACAAAATAAAAAAAATTAAATAAAAAAATAAATAAACACATATTTATTACCGTCTTTTACAATGATATATAATAATGGGCTACATCTGACCAACATTTTTCAAAGTATTTCTGATTTGGTGTTTGAAGCTTTTTTGTTTTACCAGGCAACTAAGGAATGGTGATTAGTAAAATCAGTTTCAGTGTAGTTGCAGAAAATGCCACTTATATGCATTTATTTATATTATGGTTAATTCAATCTAATGATGACAAAAAATTATTAAAAAAGGAATTAATAATGAATCATATAATTTCATAACATAATGAAAGATTGATTTCAAACATGGAGATGAGTTTTTTTTTACTAAGTGAAGTGATTTTATTAATATTTTGCCAAATTTATAAATACTGAGTCTGAAAATGCAATGGCTGTCAAAAAAACAAATGTTATGTTCATGTTTTTAGCACTTATTTGTCATTGCAAAAAAGGCATAGCAGCTCACAGGAAAGCATTTGGAAACTAATTTTATAGGATTTCACTGAATCTGAAACACTTTTACTGTAAAAATGCAATGCTTTTTTGAAAACACATGCTGTAGATCAAGCTCTAACACAGTTGAATTTCTAGCACTGTTTTCTCATTGCCAATAATTGCCTAACAGCTCCTGGGAAAGAGCGGAGAATTAACCTACAAATTTGGTCAATCTGACACACTAACATAAAAAAAAATGCTTGTTCAAAATGATAATAGTTTCTAAGCAATAAAGGAACAATAAAATAGTCAACATACAAAGACTTAGGTTTTTTGTTATTCTTCATTTTAGATGCCTAATGTCGCCAATTAGCTTTATACCCAGTTAACCTAATTTAAGATGCAAAGTTACTTCTATTTAATTTAACATCAGATTGACCAGAAAAACACAAGTTATAAAAAAAATATATACAGCTTATAAATTCAGGCATTAAGGGAGACTGCCCGCATGTAGTTATTCTTTTTGGTTTAATATTCATAGCAGCAGTTTCCTTGTATGTCAGAGTTAGAGTCTCGTTTTGATGGTAGCATTGCAAAGAAAAACAGGACAACAATTTAATTTAATCTCTCTCCATTACAGAAAAAAGGCCTTTTAATTAGATGGAACAAGGATTTCAGCTTTAACTGTGCTGATATGGTATAAAATTAACTTGGATGATCACTTCAGGCAAAGTATTAAAACTGTTTTTGCATAGAAGACATTTTTTAAGCAATTAATAAATTAGCCTAAAATCAGTTTACACAATTATCTAAAGCTAGTTAAACAACCAAAACAAGTAGCATGATTTCAGAAGCACAACATAGATGCCCCCACTTTAAATTTATAGATTATTAGTGACTATAAGGCATAAATTCTGTTTTTGACTAAAAAAAAAAAAAAAACAAACAAAGCTGAAAAAGGTGTAGAGGCTCAAATGTAGTTTTCTAAAAGGATTTCCTGTAAGGGATTAATAACTTAATTCTGATTCTGATTCCAGACAATTGTGTTTAGCAAACTAAATATTTTCTTAAATGTATTTTTACTATTAGGATATTTAATAAATTTATTGTAAAGAGCATCTGTACCATGCAAAGGTGCTAATTTAGTTTACAGCAGTTTTCAGTATTTACTAGACTTGTAGTAAGAGTAAAATATATTCAATAATTTTATCTCCTTATTTGTGAGACGGTTTATTATAGTTATGCGTTTAGAGTTATAGATAATGTTGTTGGTACTCTTTCTCTTTGACGAGATGTCTTGATTTAAACACGAGACATAAATCAATGTGACAAGTTGTTTACAGACATCCTTACTTGCACGATTACGCCTTAAAGCTGCTGGCAATGGCCTGCAGCTTGTGGCAAAAACAAAGTGGCCAAATGTGCTCATTTGTTAGAGAAAAAAAATCCAAGTGCTGATGTGGTCTTTTTCAATAAAAAAAAAAAACCTTAAGTAAAACCACTTTATTTATGCAGAGACTGAAGGAATAGTTAATCACTCCATTTCATACCATATTTTAAACAATAATAAATGTTTTCTTCTTTTTTCAATGTAGGCTATTTGCTTGGCAAGCTGACAAAATAACTTTCCGGCTCCTTCCCAGTCGTGCTAGGTTAAACTAACCAAGCAAATAATGGCAAATACCTCTCTTCTGTGCAGGTCTAAGTTAACCAAAGAAGCAGGCATTTTCCATTGTTTTCAAAGTATATAAAGCATTGCTAGGCTAACTAAAAATAATTCCCACTCTTTTTAATCTGTGCAAGGCTAAGCAAATCAAAGACCTGAAGCAATTTCCTGCTCTTTCACTGTTGCCAACTTAGTAAATTTGTAAATTTAGTGACTTTTGTCCATGTTATTGGAGACTTTGAGAGCAGAGAATGAAAGCAACGATTGGTTTGATTTTATTCCCTTCAGCGAGCAGCGATTGATGCTGCTAGCCCCTCCCTCCGCCAAAGCAATGACAGGCAGTCGGAACTTGCAGCAAACCAGCAAACTGGGCCTTATGTCAGAGAAAGCAGAACAACTCTGTTCCCCCTTTGAAAATGAGGCGCACATCTGCAAAGCTTTTACCCCCCAAGGGGATTTAAAAGCTACGTGCAAATACACAATTTTTTTTTTAATTCATGTTTTTATTCACGTGACAAGGTCAAGTACAAACAAAAAAAGTAAGGATTTTATCCTTTTTACAAAAACAACAACCACTCATTCCCTTTCTTCCCCAACCCTCCCCAATCCTACAAGATTATGTTACAGATCAGTAATAACCCACATCCTTCCTTCTTACCGTACACAAAAATGTGAAAAAAAGTATATAGACAATTTAAAAACAAATAACATAAATAAGTAAATAGAAAACACCACAAAATAAAAATGAGAAGTGAGATTTTCAATGGGTTGAGATGAAGCAAGGGGGAAAGGGAAATGTAATCAAAAGTCAGTTGCCAGAAGTGGAAATTTCATTGTCCTTTAGTGTCTTTAAACTAGCTATGTAACTAATCATGCAGCCCCAAACTGAAACAAATTTTCCAGGTGCCCCCCTCAGATCATATTTAATTGCCAATACACTATTTAAAGTAATATGTTTTTCCTTTCAAACTGTTGCAATAGAATAGATCCCTCCCTGAAAATAATTCATATGCAACATCATCCATTGCCTTTGCCTCTGCTAAGCTAACCAAATAACTAAACATTACTGCACTTCCTTTTTGTGACCATCATGGAACCTTCAGTTGCTCAAATAAAACTTTGCCAGCTGCTGAAAACATGCCATGATGCTTATGCTATAGGCCTGAGTCAATAATTATTATTTAGGTCAGAAAGATAGGTTACATTTTGAACCCTCTGTACATTGAATTTCAACTTTAATATATGTAGGATACACCGAGGGGGAAAAAAGAAATAAAAATCCAAGATTGCAGGCAAGCATACTAAACATTTATCATTTATTTGAATAGAAGATTATTTTTATTTTCTTAGATCAGTCACAGACATAGCTTTTTATTACTCATGACTAAGAATTCAAAGGCAAACAGATCAAATCAAATCCGTGGGAGGTAGGAACCAAGTTGTGACATCATTATTACGCCTTACTTCATATTTGCTCAATTGAAAAAAATAGATATTCATATTTTGTTATAATTCTATAGTAAATCTATTTTCTAAGTAACTCTTGTTTTCTATGTGTGTTCTGCAGGGGGAGCTACTTAGTCCCTGCCGTTGTGACGGCTCCGTGCGCTGCACTCATCAGCCTTGTCTCATCCGATGGATAAGTGAAAGAGGCTCTTGGAGCTGTGAGCTCTGCTACTTCAAGTACCAGGTCCTGGCCATCAGCACCAAGAACCCACTGCAGGTAACAACAAATATTTGCTCATAAGAATTAGAATTTGCCAAAGCACATTTTTACAGAACATTTTGATTCTAACCAGTCAACAAAGTTTAAATGTTTAAAGCAGATTTGCACCAGGAGTTTGAGATTATAAAAGAGGCTGCACAGTGATGCAGCTGCCTTGCAGCCAGAAAGGTTACTACCTTTGTGTCTTTTTCATAGTGTTTGCATTTTCTCCAAGTGGATAATTGTGTTCTCTCTGGGTGCTCTGGCTTGCTGGTCTAAAATCATGGCCCCTTCCCCCATAGATATTCACCAGGCAATCTGAAAGGGCCAGTTGCTATAAAAAAGGGAAGAGGATGGATGTTGCTGCAGAAAAAGAAAACAGTAAACATATTTAGAAACACAACTTGTAAAACAGAAGAAAAGGCTGTTCTGTAAGATTTCTTCGAATCAAAAAGGAAACATTCAGGAAAACAAGGTTACATAAAAAAGCTGCAGATAATCCTGACCTTTTATAATAAAAGACGCAGCAGAGCCATTAGTCTTTGCTGGAACAAATCATAGGCTATTGCGAATGTGAGGACTGTTTGCCATATTGTGCTGACCAATTTTCCCTCTGCGTCACTGTCCGTCTGCCAGGCTTTTCAGACGCACAGAACAAAACCTAATGGGAAGACGTGTGGTTTGGTTTGGATGTGCTGGTCTGAGAATGAGTTGATTTATTCAAATAATTGAAAATTAAACAGCAGCTAATAAACAATTTTCAGAATTTCTACATCAAAACAAGACTACCTGTGGCGTTCGAATGTATAGGGGGTACAATTGCCTATCACAAATAATACGTTTAACTTTAGAACATAGTTTCATTTACTAATTTTGAGCTTCCTGACATTTGAAAAACAATCAAAATAACACATGGAGCATTTATTCTAACAGTCAGTGATGCTGAAAAGTTTCAAAATTTCCTTCTAGTTACCAAGGCCTCTTTAGTTCCTTTAGTTATTGCTCATGAGTGATTACAGCTGACAGCAGCTCTGTGCCGATATGAAAGCATTTACATAGCCATACTCACTCGTCCATCCAAATCTAAGAAAGAGAAGAATTTCAGACGTGAAGAATATCTCTTAGAGCCTTAGAAGAATATTTGCTGCGGGGATCCTTAAAGCTGTTAGCCCCAGGCTTTGCACTGTAAGCAGCTCCTATTGCATAAACAAAAGGCAGGAATACCTTTCTTTAGTCAGTTTAGAGAATGCTTAATTATTTGGCCCTAATGAATTAAAGGTAAAGCTTTCAACTCAACCATGGCATCTATAATCAAGATAAAACACATCTTATCTATTTCTTTTTTTTAAGTCATTCTAATAACAATCAAAAATATTTCATCCATACAGATTTATTAGTTCTTTTTTTGTTTTTTTAAACCAATTTAAATCATCAAATTCAGTTGGACCATCAGCCAATTTTTTGTGTTGCACAAAAATGTTAGTTCTAGCAATTTTTAACAAATTAGTTTATCAAAGTGGAAAATCCAAACCAGTCTGGTCGTATACCAAAAATGAAGTACATAATTTGTATAAAGGGTATTAGGGGTGAGGCCTGCATCATGCCTTCCATAGAGGGTATCTCATTGTTTGGAGCCTCATCACCTCAGTAATCTCAGACTTTGATTAGGCCACTTCAAACATTTATTTTGTTTAGTTTTCTAGCCCCTCAGTGAAATACAGAAAAGAAAAGACAGTTGAATGTTCTCATTTGAATGAATAAATTAATGAATGAATTGATTACTTTCAGACAATCCAGTGATATAATGCAAATATTATATACGTAATGTTAGATATAAAGTAAATATAAGGTAATGTTAGATATAACTACGTTATATGTGTAATTTAGTGCTTACTTCTGCAAAGGCGTATAAAGAACATAAACTTAATTAATTAATTAAACCTCCTCTCCTTCCTATAGTCCTTAACAACAATAATATTCCCTATTCCTTATTGTATAGGTTGATGCAAATCAAAAAGTCCACTAGTTGAGCAAATATATCAATTTCAGTAATATGCATATATAAATATATATGTACCTGTGTATATAAATGTGTAACATGTCAAAAAGCAGAACTCATGGATCCAACAACCAACTACCTTTGTGTTGTGATGTCCACTTTATCTCATCAGTCAGAATGTTCTACTTTGAAGGTCTAAGGCATCATGAAGTTTATTGAAACAGGACTTTATGATGTTTTTGCTCGGTAGTGTTTTAGATAAGTTTTCATTTAGTCATTTGTCATTAAGTCATGAACATTGACCTGAAGCAACTAGTCCTGCATAGCTTCAGATCTTCTGCGTTCCAGTTCGACTTCATTTGTTTAATAATTTGTTTATTAAACAAATGTGGTTTGCTGATCTTTCATGTCTCACATTAATCAGATATGAGTGGTATAATTATGATTTCACCCAGAGCAGGTTGGTTTAGAAAGCCCTTCATCCGTCATCCATCCATCCATCCATCCATCCATCCATCCATCCATCCATCCATCCATCCATCCATCCATCCATCCATCCGGTTTTGGGGATGGCAGCTTCAGTAGGGAGGCCCAGTTATCCCTCTCCCCAGCCACTTGGGCCAACTCCTCCTCAGTTAAAACGGAAAGCAGCAGAGAAGTTTAACTGATGGATCTATGTCAGCAGCCCCCCACGCCTGGAGCCAATTGTTTTTTTGTTTTTTCTTTTAATGTAAGAAGAAGTTTTGCAGTCGCTGGACCTCTCCTGTTGTAAACTGACCCACAGCTGTCGAAACAAGCCCTCGAGATTTCACCAAGTAACTTTTTGCACTTGGCACCATGTTGGGGAGTCATTTATCCTATGGACATATGAACTATTTGTAGATGAGCACTGTTTCTTTGAGACACTATGACAAGGTTTTAGGAAAGGTTAGGAGTTTAGAGGAAGAGGGTTCAGGGCAACGCTGGGTCCACCAAGTCCCTACCAGAGGTGATGGAGTCATCTCCATTGGCTCCAACACATCATGATGCCGGGAGTAACTTCCATGTTGCTCTACAACATCAGATTTATTCCTCTCCACTGGATGTGCCAAAGAGGATTCATGATGGTAATTTAGGGTGACATAGAACAGAGATTCAGTGCTTAAGACGATATGAGGAGACACATGTCTTCTGTTTATATACCTCCTGGTCACCATGCCTCTCCAAAGGCAGCTGTCTCTTCTCTGGAGGTAAAGGAAACCTGGGTGTAAGACAATGGACCCCGTTTTTGACCTCTGGACAGTTCTTCAGTCAAGTTCAAGTGGGGGGTCTAGACGGCAAAACACAAATCTTCTGTAATGTTCTGGGATGCTTTCTGCATAATATAAAAAATTTCAAAACAATAATGACTTGTTTACAACCTCTGGGTCCAGCATTATTCAATGCACACATTACTGCACCTCACATCCCAGGCAACCAGAACACATTTTGCAGGTCTGCAATGTAACCCTTATTAAACTCAGATTCATCCATCTTCTCCCGCTTCATCCACCAGGGACATGGTGGGGCTGGTGGGACCAGCAGCCTGTGGGTGAAAAGGCAGGGTACACCCTGGACAGGTTGCCAGTCCATCGCAGAATTCAGATTCAAAGCATATGATTCTGTTTGGTCCCACAGCTCGTCTTCTGTTTCCTATGTCTTGCAGTTTTAACTCACTGTTAGGTGCTTTGGAAACCTTCTGATCTAGCTATCTCTGCAATTAAAAAATCTCTATAATTCTTACCAGCCTCCTCAATATTCTACAAACTGAGTCAATCAAAATGATCGCTAGTCTGAATGTGTAGCCAAGAATTGTTCCTTGTTAGTGGTTTGGTTTCTTGGTTAATATACAGTATATGGTCAGCTTAGATCACAAACAGTGTGTTTCCTTGCTGTACACTTTTATCGGATAGATTTGTACTTTCTCTTGACTAAGGGGTCTGATTATTTTTTTCCTCAGCTTTACACTTTGTCTCTCCTTTCTTCCGCAGTGGCAGGCCATCTCCCTGACAGTGATTGAGAAGGTGCAGATTGCAGCGATAATCCTGGGTTCCCTGTTCCTCATCGCCAGCATTTCCTGGCTCATCTGGTCCTCGCTCAGCCCCTCTGCCAAGTGGCAACGTCAGGACCTACTCTTCCAGATCTGCTATGGCATGTACGGCTTCATGGATATCGTCTGCATAGGTAACTGAAGGCATGATGCAAGCCTGACCCCATACTGTGCAAACATATAATCAGCCTCCAGTGTCTCAAATAGCCTTTGCAGCAGGAACTTAGGGACAAAGGGAGAAAGCTTAGTTGACTGAGCCATTGGGGCTGCATTTTGCAACAAGAGCAGCGTAGTTTACAGGAGCCACAACAGAAATGTTAATAAGCGGTGGATGCATTATGCAAGGACAAACTAGCATGATGAGACAAAGATGTTCTCAATTTACATTTTGGTGCTTTGCAGAATTACGCAAGTGAGTTGGCAGATGGTGCAAGGGAGGAGACAACAAGCACACTAAAAGCCAAACAAATTTTGATGATGTTGCAGAGAACAAGAGACTGTTTTTAAGGTGTGACTGGGTCAACTGTTCTTGCGCGATTATGAGTCGCCTGAGTCAGACAACACTGAGAACAGATTGCATGAGATGTCTGCGCCATGATTTTTGCCAACTGTCTATTCTCATCCACAGACGAGATAAAATGTTTCTGCCCATGATGCTGACAGCAGCTACTGAATCTATTGAGCAAAATGTACGAAAGTGAGAATTTCAAAGCTTTGTCCTTCACTCTGCTTTTGCTTTTTTGCTCTCACCCAGGCCTCATCATCCATGAGGGATCGTCTGTGTATCGAATATTTAAACGATGGCAGGCTGTCAATCAGCAGTGGAAAGTACTGAACTATGAAAAATCGAAAGACTTGGGTGACCCGGTGAGCTCGAGCAGTAAGACCGGCGCCCGCGGCTCCCGCGGTAACCCTCATGGCCTGGCCAGCGGCAGCGGTGGGCGTCAGAGCAGGAGGCTAAGAACTATTCTGAACCACCACTGCGGGTACACCATCCTGCACATCCTGAGCCAACTCAGGCCCAACGACCCACGGATCAGTGCCGCCGCTAACCGGGAGGTGGTGATGAGGGTCACCACTGTATGAGACAGACCTAAGTCATGCAGAAATGCATGTTTGCTTGATGTGAAGCAGTGGAAGGACATATGGACCTGATATGAAAAAAACAAAGGACTCGTCTAGGCAACAGGAGCCCCGCGTGGAGGCGAACGGTGCCTGGAGCATCAATAGACTGAAAACACATGAGGATTTCTCCTCTTGTTTCTTACGACAAAAGCAACCAGATGCTCATTTTCAATAATTAAAGAACTGTTGAAAATGAGGACGAAAAACAATTAAAAGACATCAATGATGAAATGTGTGACAGTGGGGGTGGTCAGGGGCATTGTTAACAGGCTTTATTACCTGAAACAAAACAACAAAATGTTTTTTTTTTCCGACTCAGTATCAGGATGCACAGGAACATTTACTTTTTTATTTAATCCTACTTGTTTGTTTTTATCTTTTCTTTTTTTTTTCTTTTTTTTTTACTCACTTTGATTTTGTACTGATGTATGATTTGAGAAGAAACCATGTTCGGTAACTTCATACATGCCAAACATTTCCAGACGATGTAAGGAGCTTAACATTTCTACAAGCCAACTGATACTGGTAAATAGACCGAAAGCTGAGAATACAAACATCCATGAGGGCAAAATAACTTTCAAAGAACAATAAGTCATTATTAAGAAAAGAAAAGAAAAAGAAAAAAAAAAAGAAGTGAGAAATATCTCAGTTATACTTAACCTCTCTGCAATAAAAAATACGTATGTACATTTCACAGGGAATTTTGCATGGGTATATAATTTTATTCTCCATCACATAACATAAGTACATGACAAATTTGCTCTATTTCGAATGGTGCTTGCCAAAATAAACACTTTTAAACATCTGTTTTCATTGCACCACCTTTTTGTCAGAATGACAAATGACAGTGTGTTACAGCTATTTCAGCTAAAATACAGATTGTTGCTGCTGTGTGCTGATTCAGATTTGATAATAAGTTAACTATTGGATTAAAAATTGGGGTCGGATGATCTCTAACCTCTGGGTCTCATTGCGGTCTCTTCTTTCGGCTTAAGTCATGAATGTAAAGGCAAATGCTTGGTGCTGAAATGTAGTGGGGTACTGGAATATCTAATGATTTACTACGGA